GGACTCGCTCAGCTTACATGAAGCAGTGGGATCATCCTGAATCTCATGTACTCTGTATAACCTCGACCAACACCTGTTACATAAGAGGTTGTGTAGAAATCACTGGCTCAGTCAGAGACTCCTCTGCTTCATCAAGTAGAGCGACGCTTTGTACACTTTATAACGTATTGTGACATAACATTCCTCTTTCTCTTAGCTCCACTCAGTGTGTGTTTGTTCAGAGCAGGAAGGGGACAGGTCAGTGTGAAAGAATAAATGCTTCTTTTAGCTGCTGGGACACAGAGGGGGAGGGGCAGTGTTTACATTAGGTGTGCTTTTTAAAATGCCCCTCCACTGTGTCATTTAATTTAATTCCTAATCGGGTTGTGGATTGTAAATGTATAAATTGTGGAACGTGACAATGGGTTGTTTTTTTTACATCACTAATATAACTAATTGTGATAAAAGACAAATGTAAATGTAAAATAAAAGGAAGAGGGAAAATGATACTGAACAACATATTGGACAGACAGTAGATTGATTTCATCGGTTGCTTTGGAAATAAGCAGCCCGATATCCACAGGCAACAGCTGCGGTTGTCAATAAACCAGTCAGTGTGGACTGACCCCTTTTGTTTGCTGCTGTGTTGCTGACTGTTGGTGGTCAGTTGTAAGAAATCAAGTTAGTTTTGCAGATGATGTCGATGCTTATTTTGGGGAAAAATGTGTTAACAACATGTGTTTTGTCAGTATTTCCTCTTCTGTCTCCACCCATTCAACCACCTTTCTCCTATTTAAGTTGAAATCCCTCTCACATTGGCTGTATGACTTAAATTGACTTAAAAGATTCTGATTTAAACGATGAAATCAATATTTGTTTTCTTTGGAAGATGGTGCGCACTATTGCAAACCACTGGTACCGTCCTTTAAGGCCTTTAATTGGCCTTAGAAGATTGTCTTAGTGGTGTACTTAAAAGGTGTTGAGGTGAAATCTGTTTTTCCGAGACCTGTTTTTACACTCTGTCTGTTCCCTCCACCAGTATCTGTATCGGCATTGCGGAGTCGTGTATCTGCTCTGGAGGAGGAACTGTCTGCAAAGGCTGGGACGTTGAAGTCGGTTCAGAATGAAATGGTGCAAAGCAAGAAGGAGCTCGCTGCCAGGGAGCTCAACATTCAGAGAGCCCGTGACGAACTGACTCTGGCACACACACGCATGGCCCAGGAGAGTGAACGGGTAATAACACACACTACTGCTACTGATACAACTGGTACTACTACTATTGAAAACAAGTGTGATTCGTTCCAGTGCTAATGTTTTATATTTCTCATAAGCCCTATTGTTTTCCACAAAATGAGTGTTGACCTCATTTCTCAAAACGTTTTTCTTTAACTTACCTTAAAATGACAAACATGATGGAAATATTCTACTAAAATCACAATTCTTTATTATCAGCAACTATGAAAGCTTAAGCTGGAAAAATAGTGCCCTTGTTCTGTTCTGTAAAACAATCCAGTTATTTTGTGAGCACTAACCTTTAGGCAAACAATGTACAATGCCAAGGATAATGGAGGCTGCCAATTTACCCATTAATTGTTGTTTGCTATGCTAACCTCTCAAAGTGTGAAACCTTAATCAGCGTTACAAGATAAAAAATGAAAATAAACCAACCGAAAACAATATAACAAATGTGTTCACATAAGCAAGAGTTAGAGAAGTGACCTTCATATACAAAGACACAAACACAAATTTTACAATTTACACTTTAGAATAACTGACTACGTCACTCTTTAGCAGGATACACACTCTAAGCCCTTGACAGCAGCAGAGATAATGACCCCCAAGTTGTCTTATAGTCAGTATTAAAGAGAATATGTTGTGTGTGTGATTGTATGGCAGGCATCAGGAGCTGAGCAAAGGCTGAAGCAGCTACAAGAGGAGCTGAAGTGTCAGCGGCAGAATGCAGAGAGCATCCGACTGCAACAACAACAACGCTCTAAGGAGCTGGAGAAACAACACCAGAGGGTGAGACGGAGAGGGATGAAAGATTGAGAGAAACAAATTAAAATGCTTTGAGAACCAACTGGAAACAAGAGAAAATTTCAGTTTTGTGTCCAACTTGCTTTTTGCCCCATTCCATTCATGAAAACAAATATAACTTGTACCACATTACACTCAGAGATAGTAGCTCAGATTCTTGCTTTGCACTGCCTCCAGGATTTAACAGAGCTTCAGAAGGAGAGGCAGTGTCTGGAGAAGCAGCATCAGCAGGAGGTGAATAAGCTCAACCAGGAGCTCCAGCAGGCCAGGACCCTCCACAACGCCCTGCAGGCCCAGGCGGACAAGGTAAATACACACACAAAGTCACTAAATCATACTCATGAAAAAGCAAACAAGCTTTCTAATTCGCCTATTCACACAAGTACATTTGCCAAGATAAAGCCTTTAAATCAGATCTGCATCAACACTAGAGAGCGAGGACCTAAATGATATTCTCTACATATTGTTTATATTTTGGTTCATATGTCTGCTCTGTTTTTTCAGCTATTTCCTGTTTCTCTTTCCTCCTTTCTCTATCCCTTCTCCTCTCCCCCTCTCTCTTTCTCCTGGGATTTATATTATTTGTACCAAAGGTCAATAAACTTATCTCACTTCTTCTCCCACGCTTGCTTCTTGCCCTTGTTGTTTTCTCTTGCTCTCTATTTCACTGTCTTGCTCTCTGTGTTTCTATTTTTCCTCCCCCACCACCCGCTCTCCTCTCCGCTTCGCCCTCCTCTCCTCTCGGTTTCTCCCCAGTGGAAAGGTTGAGCAGCGAAGGTAATGACCGTGTGACTCTGCTTTGGTTATAGAAGCGTGAAACAAACTCATAACTTGTGTGTGAGACATTCTCTGCGTTTGTAGTAAGATTAGGTATTAGGGCATGGCTGCTGGATGAGGGTGAAAATTGTTGGAAGATTTGTATGCAGGTGTGTTGAAGCAAGTGGCATGAAAAGGAGCCGTGTGTTTGTGCTTAAAGACATTGTATTCTTTTTGTTTTGATTTCCTTTACGTGAAGGAATGCTGTGGTATTTATTCTTTATCAGCAGAACAATAATAACATTTTTAATCTCAATGCAATGCGCAATGGTGAACCTCTTGACGCATGCAAAAGAAATTCCCTGACTTTAATTCCTATGCTTTTCGCCCTGGTGTAAAAATTCTTAACAATGAGCATTCATTCTACCCACAGTGTCCCTAAACCTTATTGTAAGTCCTTTGTAAACCACACAGATGTGATCTTGTTATATCTGATAAGGCTGCAGAGAGTAAACACAGAGGCACAGTTGTGTGAATCGAATCACACACAAAATCAGAGACATTCAACTGCATATAATTACCGCCCTGTGCGCAGAAGGAACATTTACATAAATTCTCCAAAGAAACTGGAAAAACCAGAAATCTAAAAGAAGTTTGCTGTCACAGGAAACTAAAAATGATCTGCTGAATAGCAGGTAGACATAATTCATGAGCAGTGTAAGAATGTACACAGCCCCTGCTACTTCTCTTAATAGTAATGAACTACTTAGAGGACTCATACGTTACACTACAAATAACACTGACTGCTTTAATCTCTTAAATACCTGGATCAATACATATTGTAGAATAAAGCCCATATTAGTGGCAGATTGAGTGTGGCTATTTCTAACATGACATGAAGGCAGCATGAGACACAAGAATAATGGATGAATGAATGGTACTTTTATTAACTTTATTATAATGCTACCTTTAAGACTGTTCACATGTACCACGACCTGAGATAATGTGCAAAATGGATGATGAGTGCAGTGCAGAATGAGCACTGGTGGGAAGCCGATCTGCTTGTTAAGTCTTTGTGACTTTCCCCACAGAGGTAGACGATACATTAGACACAGCTTATGCTTGCTATTGATCACTGATTGCTCTCCTGCTTCCCGTTCCCTTCACTGGTCCTAATTCCTGCGCCTACAACAACAGTCATTAATTTCTTTATTCTTCTTTCTTGTTTTTTCCTCTTACTTCCATCTTTTTCTGATATCCTTTCTCCTCCAATCCTCTTTGAATATCCTTTCCCCTGTTTTTTACCAGCTACTGATTCATAATCTCCTCTATCAGTTGTCTCTACAGAAGCAGACATTGGACAAAGAGGTGGACAATCTGAAAGAGAAGCTGAAGTGGACGGAGGGACAGCTACAGGAGAGCCAGAAGAAAGAGGCCCAGACACAAGCCAGCACACACACACACACACACCACACACACACACACACACACACAATAGTGATAGTCCTGAGTCTAGTGAATCAGGGTCTGCATTTGTCAATTATTCATTAGCTGAGCAGTGGGAATATAATGAACCCTGTAAATTTTTAAACACCATCTTGGTGAGCCATATGTCAGTCTAAGATTTTTCCAAGTGAACTGTAAATAAATTATAAATGAATTGTAGTTTCTTCAGCCATCCAGCAGCATTATTATGTTTTCATAAAGGTGTAGCGTTAGAGAGCATTTCACAGAACTCCATTTCTTAAATTGCCTCCCCTGCCAGTCACTTTAGCAAGGAATAAACATTCATATCCTGCTGTACCTGATAAAACCCAACTGTAAAATATTGAATCTGACAGATGAACTGCTCGACTAGAACAAAGAAATACTGCATGACAAAGCCTTTGCTAAAACTCTTTTAAAATACCAGACCAAAGCTCAATACAGCCACACTGCAGAGGATGTTTAACACTCCAGAGTAGTTTGTTTGTGGCAGTCCATTACTTGTATACCAGCTTGCAACATCAGCACTAATGCTGCCTTTATCTGTGGCTTGTTTGTCTGGTTTTTTGCTATTGTGACACTGTTTACCTGTAGCTCTCAATACATCAGCAGCTGTTACAGTTATTCCATATATGGAAGTTGTACAAATACAAACATTTCAGGTGCAAATATTAAAAATGAGACTTATAGAATTATACATTCCTCTTATATAATTATTAGTGGCTTATTTTTTGAGAAATTGAATATATCATGGGCATATATGTAATAGCATATTTTAGAGAGGCTGGGGAAGTTTTAATGTCAGAAAAATGTCAGAAAAACAGAAAAATATTTCAAACTTCTGTCTGAAAACAGACCATTGTTATGGATAATACAGGTTCAGCTGAGAACTGGTTACTACAACTAACTAGAACACTTCTTCTAAATACTTAAATAAATGTCGTTGATGACTTAGTTCCATTTGACTGGATTAAATCCACCCCATTTGTATTGTTTAACCTCACATTAGGAAGCCTTGCGTGAGGTGGAGGGTGTGGCAGTGAGTCTGGAGCAGAGCAGGAAGAAAGAGCGAGCTCTGGAAGAGGAGGGGAGGAGACTGGCAGAGGAGCAAGCCGACACCCTTCGTCTACTCAAAGAACTGCAGCAGGGTGAGGAGTGAGCTGCGAGTGGAAGAGAGGACAATTTCTTGAGATTTATCAGTCATGGGATATGTATTGATAATAATTATGCTAACGTGATATGTTTTTGAACTTGAGTTCTTGTACAGAGAGCTGTTGACAGATGACGAGCTCTGGTTCTCCACTGGACTCTGCTGAGTCATTTTTAATTGGCCAGGTTAATTCCCCTGTAATGTAGAGTCACTTATCCCAGTGCTGCCCCCTGCTGGTCAATGATACACCATCCATGTCCTCAAATCAAAACACAATAACTGTTCCAGTAATTAACACAAGTTAATTTAAAAAAGATAGATAAGCTCTTTATTTCTGCTGTCTGTATCTCTTTCCTTTTAACTCCAGAACAAAAAGCTGCCCCAGCACCCGTTATACAACCTGTCCAGTTTTGCCCCGTTGGACAGAGTTTCTCCTCTCAACCTTCTTACTCTCGAACACCACCTATCATCAGGAGGCCCACTGCTGCCACCGTAGCTGAGCAGAAGAGCAAAGAAGAAGTGGGTAAGAGAGGGGCAGAGATTGCAGCGTCTTACCCCTCTGACAGAGAGCCCGGAGAAGGCATTGACTCAGAACACATTACTGTCCTTGTCCCCCCAGTCTCTGAGTGTGTGCAAAAGGGAGGACACAGAAGAAACAGTAACAAGGAGAAGAACAACAGTAGAAATGAGGCAATAGAGAGTGACACCTCTGGCACAAACAAACACTCCACATTTGATCATGTACTCTCTAGTTCCTCTCACCCTACTTCTGGTACACCCACCAACACCTTTATGGATGGTGATCATTGCAGTTTGATGCTTTCTGCTGAAAAGACACCTTCTCTCCAGGTAGAGCAGGACAAGGCCTTTAAAGAACTCAAGACAGAGAACGCCACACTGCGTTCAGAGCTGCGTGATGCACGTGAAGAACTACAGAAACGACTTGAGGACCTGGAAGCCCAACGACGGGCCGAGGCAGAAGCCAGGACCCGGCTCAAACAGCTCAGCCGGAAACATGCCAGCCGGTCTGTGGAGAAGGAGGAGCAGGACAAGGAATGGAAGGCACAGCTGGAGACTGAGAAGGCTGAGACAGAGAGGTTGAGGAAGGCTGTGGCCGATTTGGAGTCAGAGATTAAGAGAGGAAGGGAGGAAAGAGAAAATAATGAGAGAGAGGAGCAGGAGGAGGACAAAAACAAGGCACTAGAAGACCGGGAGAGTGAAATGATAGAGCTAAATATCCAGCTAAAGAAACAGCTAGCGGAGGTAAAGGCCCAGCTGGCTTTAGAACGAGAAGAGAGAAAGAGAGAGGAAGAGGAGAAGAACCGAATAACAAACACAGAGATCGATGTGAAGAAGGAGCTGAACACAAAACTAGAAGAACTTCAAGCTGAATTGGAAGAACTAAAGCGCAGTAGAAAAGAAGACTCGCTGGAAGAAGACAAACTCTCAGTTGCCAACAGCCCGCTAACATACCTGACTCTCCATGATGATGAGTTCAACTCCAACGTGGTTTGCTGCAACAACAAGCCCATCCCTTCGCCAGAGCAGCACCTCCTCTTCTGCCAGTCCACCAACCAACGCAACATGCTTGTATTTCAGGCAACAGAAGAGCGAACTGTGATAGATCCTGAACGCTTACCTCCATCAGATGAGGGGCAAGCGGGTCGTGTGGCCTCTGAGCTCGAAGACAACAGACAAAACTATATGGTTGGGTGTTCCCTCTCAGACCACAAACAGGTACTGTCTGAGGTCCAGAAGGATGAGCCGGCCTTCTCAAATTTGGCTAAAGAGGTAGAACGCCTGCAGAAGGAGAATGCAAAGGAGACAGAACGTGCTAACCAGTATCAGGTTAAACTGGAGGCCCTACAGAGTCAGGTAAATAAAGATTGATATATAGATTAGTACATTCATTTGTCCAGTTTAATAATAAAAGAAAATATATAAAATACAAAGAAAACAATTTTGTACATTGAGTTATAAAACCTGTTGTCAACTCACAAAAAAGATAATTATGGCCAATATAAAATGTCACTGTTAATTGTTATCAAAACCATCTAAGAAAGCAGTAAGAAGGAGACTAGGCCAAATTACACATTATTTAAAAAGCCAAAAGCTGATGAAATAAAATCACTCTTATATATGTTACTGCCATCTCAAGGAAGTAAATTGCTGTCTTGATGGAAGCAAATTAAACAGTTTGTATAAACAGTGCTGGGCTCCAGTAAGATGTCTGTGTGGCCCTGACTGACAAGTGGCAACGATCATTTAAATGTACAGCATTGACTTTATGGCATGCGTTCAGAATTTCTCCTAATTGGCTCTTAGTTTTTAGATTGAGATTAACAAATGTTAGAACTGACTCATTAAAGGAAGTATATAACTTTTCTAAAACTAGAGAATTACTTGGTTATCCTTTGTAAGATGTGCACTGTGGCACTCTGGCTTCAACATTTTCTCTATTCCTCTGTTTTCTTTCTAGGTGACACGTCAGACCCAGCAGCTAACCATGGCCTTTGAGAACCAGAGTCAGCACATCGCTGGCCTTCTAGCTGAGCTGCAAGAGAAAGAAAGTGCCCTCCTCAGCCAGGGAGAGGAACTGCAGCGCTACAAGCAAGAGCTGGATGCACTCAAGGCCCAAAAAGAGGGAGAGGAGATGACAGGTACTGAGGGACAGGATGGAGAACAAAAAGAAGAGGCACAAGATGAGAGGTCAGTGGAGATCTCAGGGCTTCAACTAAACCAGGAAAAGGAGTGTGCTGTCTCATTTCTCACTAAAGATTCACTGGCTGACCGTGGCTGTAATGCTGAGAGAGATGCAGGTGAACCAGAGATCGTGATATTTGATGCTGAAAGACCAACAGTTATTAGTGACAACGATGCACTGTGGTTAGGGGAACAGCATTCAGGTTCTGTACACTCAGACAAGACTCGGAGTAACCATGACTCTGCTTGTGTCATGGGAGAGACTGAGTATGGTCAAAGTGGAGGAACAGCAGACCTGGTTGCAGAACTGCACGCTCTCCGACAGGAGAATCAGCTGCTGAAACAAAAAATGTTGAACTTGACTGACTCGGACACCAGCCCTCCAGTGTTACACACCGACAGTGAACACCAAGGTGGCCCAGGCAAGCAAAGCCGTAAGACAGGAAGTGCTGCTCTGTCCTGCTTGGTGGAGCAGAGATCACCTATTGTGCGCAATGACATCCCTGCTGATGCACAACAGTCACCACCGCAGAATGTGAAAACGAGTGAAGATGAAGATTTAGAAAGGGAAGACAGGAGGACTACAAGGACTGAAGAAGAGCTGGATCTGGAGGCAGCGTGTCAGCTTCAGATCGACCGCCTACAGCAACAGGTAGTGACAGTTGACCATCTCATTATATCACAACAGTGACGTGTCTAAGTGAAGAAGATAATAGGTTGTTAAGTTACTACATGTGGACAGGACAATTAAATATATAATGGAGTTTGTAATGTAGATGTTGACATCCATGCTTTTGAATTCAATAGATACAATATATAATATATTGTGTGTGTATATATATATATATATATTAACTATTAATATTAACTTGTGTATTATTATATTTTTCCTGTGTGAATTTTATTTGGAGCTTCTTTTTGATTCAGTGTGTCTTGTCCTTCCTCTCCTGTCCAGGTGATGGAGCTGCAGATGCAGCTACGGGCTCTCTCTAAGGAGACAGAGCAGCAGGCCAATGAGCTTGCGATGTGGAGACTGGCCTCCCAACCAGCCCCAACATTTGACCTTCCTCACACAGACAACCAGTCTGAGACCCAGAACCAGAGCTCTGCTGTTAGACGGTCTCTGTCAAACCAGCAGCAGACTGATGAGACACAGAAACCGGCTCTGGCTCTGACTGTCCAGGCCCAGATTCAGGCGCCTGACCTCAGTGTTGAGGAGAGCACTGGTAATGTGACCATCGTCAGAGAAGATGAGTTACTCCTCTCCTCCTCCTCCAGCAAACTGCAGGGCCGCATGTTGTTCTCCAGGTAACACACTCGTACCAGGAAACAATGAAAATATGTCAATAACTTACATTTGAAGCTACCATTGTCATGTTAAAGGTCCGGTGTGTAACATTTAGAAGAATCTATTGGCAGAAATGAAATATAACATTCATAGGTATGTTTTCAATAGTTTATAA